ATGATAATGATAATGATGATGATGATGATGATGATGATGATGATAATGATGATGATAATGATGATGATAATGAGGATGATGATGATGATAATAATGATGATGATGATGATAATGATGATGGTCATATTTGTTATGATAATCAATATCATGATAATAATGATGATTAGGGTAATAATAATAAAGATGATGATGGTGTTGATGATAAAGATAATGAAAATGGTTCTGATGTTTGAGCTGTTAATGACATTAATGATGATGTTGATATAAATGATGATTTTAATGATTATGACGACGACGATGGCGATGACGACGACAGTTATGATAATGATAATTTTGATAAGAATAATAATAATGAGCAGAATGATCACGATAACGACAATATTGATAACGATAATAGTCATAATTACGAGTATAACGAGCATGATGACGGCGACGACATATTTGTCGATAATGATGATGATTATCATGTCGATGATGATGATGATGATGATGATGATGATGATGATGATGATGATGATGATGATGATGATGATAACAAATATGGCGAGGACGATGACGATGGCAACGGCGATGATAATGATGATGATAATGATGATGATGCGGACGATTATGAGGATAATAACAATGATAGTGATGGGTTATTGCTTGTTGAAAATGAGGAAACAATGCATAGATTAATTTTTATATGTTATTTTATTAACTGACTAGACCTGTTAACTGATGGCTGACAACAAAGCAGACTTATAATATACAGACTCCAATTTTTAGGAAGAGCGATTTATAACGTGCTTATGTGATTAGGGTCAAATCAGAACTGGTGCACACCTGAATAGTGCTGTAAAAGCCTTTTCTTAAACACAGGCATACATACGCTTGCACATACCTGTAGCCTATCGATACAGACGTGTACTATAACACTTTTTTCTGACCTAAGATAGCTGATAAACAATAGAAGTACATAGATATACATAATTTTATTTCACTTAGTTGAATTATTTTAGTAATCAACTTTTCATGGCGTGACATGATAATAGTCACAATTACGACCACTATGATGACGATTATTGTAATGATGGCGATTATAGTGAAGTTAATAGTCATGATAATAATAATTATGATAATGATGATGATAATAATAAGAATGAAAATGATAATAATAATCCACATTCTTTTAATAATGTGATGGTTATAATGTCGATAGTAATAATAATAATAATAATAATAATAATAATAATAACAATAATAATAATAACAATAATAATAATAACAGTACAATATGGTTCACGCAGTAGATCTTAATCTACCCATTCTTTCGCTGTATTGTGAACACTTTACACTTTTTTTGTAGGAATTTTAATATAGTTAAAAGTCAATTTTTTTTCCATAAACGTAATAGATTTTGGATGGAGTAAAATCCAAGACTTTTTTGGGCTATGTATTGTTTAGACTCATATATTCAGTATAAGTGATTTCCAGTCAGAGACTTGAATTCAACTGGTTTCAGCGTATGCAAATACGCAGGGATCCTAATGCCTCATGAGTCTGTTTCGTAATAATTTATTTTAATACGAAAAAAAGGAAAAAATCTGATCAAGCTGCATTAATCCAGTCTGATATTTCACATTTTACCTCTAATTCACCATCAATTTTGTTAAATGTAGGCTTGACTCATTTTTTAAAGGGTCAAAAGTGTGCGTCTCCTTTTATTTATCCAGTAAAATAGCTAACTACTTAATAAATAAAGTTGTTAAGCTATACAGTGGAAGTCACCTTATTAAGAACAGAGGCAACTTTAACTTTTTTTTGAAATACCTCAAAAGTTCTAATTCAGGCTAGTGAGTCTCTGCAAAATCTGCATAGTNATAATAGTAAAAATAATAATAATAATAATAATGATGATAATAGACATAACAATAATAATTATAATCATGTCATTGCTGAAGTCGATTATGACAATTATGATAATAATGATGATGATAATAATGATAATCATGATGAAGAATATAATAAGGATCATGATGATGATGATGATGATTAAAGCTATGGTGATAATGATAATGATGACAGAGTCTTATTTTTCCGTGGTCGGCCAGAATGCCTTTATGCATGATAGAAGGGTGTACAAACCCTTCCCTGTGTGGGACTCGTTATGACTATACCCACTTATTTGGCAACACCTTTCTTCTGGGACTTCCAGCTCGGAATCTGCTCTCACAGTTACACTTAAAGCCGAGGCCACTGAGGCTAAGCCCCTGGTTCAGGCTTCCTTAAGTGTTTCGTTACCAACTTGTCTTGTAACTTTTGCGCTAGGACATTTTTTTCTAGTTTAAGTCATGCGCCTAAGCTGCTGTTTTCTGTTTACTTAGAGAAATGGATCAAAATCATAGGCAGATGCTCCCCAGCACGAGCTTAAACCCGACTACCCTTAACAAAGGTGCAAGGAGCGCAACCACCGTAGAGCTCGAGGGGCAGAAATTAGGGCCTTTAAGTACAGCCACTCACCACTAGGACAGTAATATAGCAAAGCGGTTCTCAGGAGCTTGCCCGCTTTCAAGCCCCCATGCAAGCTCTTATACCGCACACCAATCTCCCCGCAACAACACCCCAGAGGCCATCCTCTTAAGGGCCCGCCACCTCCTCTACTCTGAACCTACTGGGCGCAGAGCATAAACTCAACTCCCCGCCCCCCCGATGGCACCGGATCCACAATTGCCACACCTCCACTCAGTCGTCCAGAAAACCATCCTCTTTTTTAGCCTCAAGAACTGTATGTATGTATTGGGCTACTGCAGTCTACCTTTTTTGTTGAGTAGCATTTTATCTATAACGTTATTGGGATTAAAAGTTTTAAACTTTTCCTGCAACACATTTCATTCGGCTTGCCCCTTAATGCAGTCAAAGAGAAAATGTTCTGCGTCATCTTTAACGTAGCCGCAATACTTGCAAGCAGTCGTCTGTGTTTTCTACATGTTATTGAGGTACGAGCAAAAATACCCGTGATTCGAGAGAAATTAGGTAAGGTAGTAATCTAATACCCCATGTTTCTACTCTGTCCATTCCTTGACATCTTTTATCAGGCAAGCTATCCACGTACCTCTAGATTCCTCTTGCCAGCTATGTTGCCAGCGTTCCCAGGGGTTTTTCCGGGCGTTTTTCTTCGCCTTCACTCTTTCTAGGTCCTGCTCCGTAAAGTGCTTCAATCGTCTTTTATTCGCAAGAAGGTCAATGGGGATAATGCCTGCTATCACCATTATCACAGACTCTGAAACTGTGCGATAGAGGCAGGCTATCTTCAAGGCTTCTAGTCTTTGAACTTGGCGGATTTCCGTTCTCTTCTTTTTGACGTCCATCTCGCTCACTCATTTCACAGCCCTGTATAGAATAATAGACTGAGCCGTAGACTCAAGGAGCCTGCATTTTGCAGGCTTTGGACCTTTAACGTTCGGCATGATTTGGCTTAATGCCGCTACTCTTGCCACCACCTTATCTGCTGCTTGACTAAAGTGGCTCCAAAACTAGATTTTTCTATCCAGCGTCACCCCTAGGTATTTTACGGCATCTTTCGTCATTACTTCTTTTTCTTGTACCTATCTCTTTTCACAATAATAGTACCATCTCCGTCTTCCCTGCTGCAACTTCGAGTCCGTGGTTTTCCCTTCATAAAGCCACCCTCCACATAACCTGGTTAAGTAGTAACTGGACAAGTTCAATTGTTCGACGATCACTACAGAAGCATCGCCCACGTATCCAACCAAGAACGTCCCCTCTAGCATTTCCTGGCGGAGTAGTCCGCCGTATGACACGTTCCAGAGATTGGGTCCAAGTATGGATTCTTGGGATGCCCCTGCATATATCTTCTCCTTCGTTCCGCATTGTGTTATCGTATAGGTCAAGAAGCGGTCCTTGATATAATCTCTCAATACTCTCAAGAGATAGTCTGGTGTTTTAAAAGTGTATTTTAGAGCGTAAAACATGTCCTTTCATCTTGCTGAGTTGAAAAAATTATTTACATCCAAGGTCACCAGAAGAATAGGGAGTTTCGCTCTATGGCATATGTCTCGAGTGCTTCTAACTCCTTACACTAATTTTTCGACTGCTTCTGTGGTAAACCTTACTTTCTTAAATCCGTACTGCCTGTTGGATGAGTCTTCCGCGTTTTGTATGACCTGTAGAAGACGGGCCTTAAGCAGCTTTTCGTATAACGTTTAAGGCGTATCAAGCATGCGTAACGGCTTGAAAGATGACGGACAGTTAGACTTTGCCTTTCCTTTATTAATCAGTGCCAGCCGTGCGTTTTTTTAGTGGGTTGGAAACAACCCCTACCGCAGACATGCATTGTATGAATTTCAAAGCAGCTGTGGGTGTTTTTCCACTAGTGTCTTAATAACTTCTGCCGGTAAACAGTCTGAACCAGGAGCTTTCCCTTTTTACGCAATCCAGCTGCTAGCTCAAGTTTCTTCTCGGTAAATAAAGGTACGTCTTTAATGAACTCCAAGTCTGCTTGATCCTCGAGTTCTGGATGCGTAGGAAATAGCGTTTCCACGATATGCCGTATGGTATCTGCATCTTTATTTGCAGTTGGCGCAAGTCTCCCCAGTTTTTCCATCACTATCTGGTGTACTCTGCCTCAGTGGTCGTTATTTACTTCCCAGCACAAAGTCTGCGAGCACTGCTTTTTGCTGTTCTTAATAGCAGCTCGCATCGTCTTTTGTGTAAGCTGGTACTCGGATTACCATTGTCTGGCCTCTGGTCTGTTTCTGGCCCTTCAATAGATGCGTCTGTGTTTGAGACATTGGAGCCTTAACTCCGCAATTTCCTTGTTCTACCAGTAATTTGAGCGTTTGCCGTTCCATTTTTTTTTCTGGGCAAGGAGGCCTTGCATATGGTTTTTAGAAGTTGCATAGTTGACTTAGTGAGCTTCCATACTCCTTTAACTGTGTTCAGGTTTTGTTCATCGTTTTAGATAATAGCGATGCCATTTTCAGCTTTTTCCGCTAGTCATTCCGTGTCCAGCTTCTTAACATTCCATACTGTTTTGCGTGCTATGCCACTTCTGTTTATTGTATCAGTGATTTCAAAGACAATATAATAGTGGTTGCTGCCATTTTTGTCCTCGATTACCTGTTATTCCTTCAGTCTTAGCGCAACGCTCTCCAAAGCCAGTGTAATACCTAGTATTTGTTGGCCAAATCCGGGCCTTCAGAAAGTCTCGGTCCTCCCTTCGTTTACAACGACCAGTCCTAGCCTTGCTGCCATATCTAGGACTATCCACTCCTTGGAGTTTGTTGCAGGCATTCCTCATTCTACTGCTCTTACATGCAAGTCTCAAGCGACCAATAGGTCGCCTTCCATGTCATCCCTGATGGTATCTTGAAGGTAATTTATTCGTCTCCTGTTTGTCTTGATACTAGTGTTTGGTAAAAAGTAGCAGCTGACATACGTGATGCCCTTTCTTTTCAACCAGACAAACTGTCTTTCCGATCCGTTTGAATCTTGATAAATTTTGTCTGGTCTAGAGACTTAAATGGCCGACATATTTGTTTTGTTGCTAAGCCACTTAGGCGGCTTAAAGTTACTGTACTGCTTGCTCATAAGCGCTACGTCTACCCTTCATTTACATAATATTTGTGGCACGAGGGCATCTGCGTCAATTGCCCTGTTCATTTTTCCTTAGAGAACTCTGGGCATTATGTCAGGTTTTTTTTTCTTCTGTTCAGGACCTGTCTAGAGGCCCTGCTCGCTCTAGATCCAGGCATATGATTAATGCTTTCTCCTACATGCGTGGATTTACTGCATAGGACACATCGTGGTTAGGCCTTGCAGTCCTTAGCTCTGTGTTTGTCTTTACCGCATCCCCAGCAAAGGACTGATCGGTCTGGGCCTCTACAGTCGTACCTTGTGTGCCTATATCCCAGGCACCTGTAGCATCGTGGGACGATAATCCTGCACCTGAGTTGGCACTAAATTCAACCCTACTGCTATCGCCTATATTTACCCACCATTCCCCCTCACACTTCCAAGCAATTAATTTTTTAACAAATTTTAATTTTATTTTCCCACAATAATTTTTCTTTGACTTTGAATTTTTTTCTTTTACAATTCTAAAAAAAAAAAAAACCACTTTCCAGTTTAAAGATTTAAACCCTTGACCTCCTGCATACGAATTGTGTACCTTACCCACTCTGCTACGAGCACTGCCAATTCAATGAAATCGGTTTCTTGTACTGATCGTGTGGTTCGTAACTATAATATTCCATTTTCATATGCATCCACTGATAATACAT